GGGAAGTTTATCAGTACGAAGGATTCCATACACCGAGGAAACGGATACGATGAAAACCAGGAAGATAGTGATGACGAGGATTCATACACCGAGGAAACGAATGACGATGAAGACCATGAACGTTGTGATGACGAGGATGATGCTGGTAGTTTTATTATTATAGCTTCAACTTAATTACATACAAACAAAATTTTTTTAATGTTCCAATTATTCATAAAACTTTGATATCTAACATAGTACATGTAATAGTTGTAAATATGATTTTCTTAAATTAGTTAAAAAAAAATTCTACATCATAAAACAGTAATATAGTAAAGTAATTGTTTGCTTTCAATTTTTTTCTAGATCGTAGTCTCTTGTACTATATTGTGTCATCAGTTTATGAAACAGAAAGAGTTTATCATGATTCAGACAGAATTGATTTAAACAGCGATGACTGGTATGAGAAACTTACAGACATCCGACAGACGTATAAAATGAAACACAGATCAAGAGAGAGGACGTTCTTGCTATTAAATCAATGACTAAAACATCTAGACTAGTAAAAATGGAGAGACAATTGTATCATGTGATATTGATTCCATTGGTGTCGAGAAAGATGACAGGGTTTACAATTGTCTGACATTCAATAAAAATTATTTAAAATTCGTGAAGGAGACACCGTCAGAGTATTTGCCAATATGCCTTGAGTTAGTGCCAAAGATAGATGAAAAAATATTGGGTAGCTTTGCGATATCTGATATTGTCTTGAAATTAGGATTAAAGTTTCTTCACCTTTTTCCGTACAATAACAAATTTAAGGAAAAATATGACAGAGGTTTAGATATCTGTAAGTATTTATTTTTTCCAGCGCATAACATTCATGTTAAAGGTACATGTATAGTTAATACCTATTTTATCTAATTATTATATTTGAATTTTAAAACATAATTATCTAACTATTCCAAAATATTCAAAAGGATAATACTGTTTTAGTGAATCTTCCTTATGCTGTAAACTGCATGATATGGTTCGATGAACCTCCTTATGATAGTACGTTCAGTGATTTCAAAGAATATGTGGATGAGATCATGAAACGTGAAAACAAATCCTTACAGACATTGAATTTGAACAGTCTCCTGGGCTCATACCTTATTGGACGAGATACAGGCAAGGAGCTAGGTAATGATTTCAGTTGAAAAGGATATGTCTATCATTCTTTGAAAGATGAAGTTTCACAAATGCAATGATGAGAGCAAACAGGAAGTAATTATTGAAATGTGGAACCCCGTATTATATAAACTATTATTGTGTATCAACCACAAACCACGTTATCCCTGTTTTTTAACTTCTCAACCTTTTTTTCCTTGTCAAATGGAAGGAAATCGAATAATGCACCATCACAGTAAATTTATCTTTCCCAATTTTTTATTTTTTAATGATATTAAATTTAAGAGGTAAGCTTCTTCCCTTTGGTGACAATATTTAATTCAAACATATGTATAACAGAGAGAATATTTTTGTAAATACAAGTTTTAAAAATATCACGGGGTTCCACACGTTAATCATGTTAATGCATTACTCACTTTGTTTGCTCTAACCATTGCAGTTGTGAAATATATATTTTCAAAGAGAATGACCTATCAATGCATAAATAAAGGAACACATATTAAAGCTTGCATATATTAGAAACTGAACGATTTGTTTTACAGAGGAAATAAATACGCTGTATCAAGGCATCCCAATACCTGGCTCTGTAAAATCTTTTTTTTTTTTAATTTTGCTGCTTAAAGATTTTAATCCCACATAGAATTTATTCTTAAACTTCAATTTGTGTTTCTTTACATAAGAATTGATATAGTAAGGTACTAAATAATTCCTAAATTGGATTAAAATTAACTAACATATTTGTTCTAAACATCTTTTGATCTTGAATAGATTAGTTTGTTTTATCTTGATAATTTTCACATATTCATTTGCCATAAATACTCATAATAATCTATTCGAAATCATTAAACACCTTTGCAATGGTGTTAAAACGAAAGGGGCATCCAAAATATGATACAGAAGATGAATAATTTTTTATCTTTGGCATTTACTTTATTTGGCAAAGCTGGTTAGATATAAAGAATGAAGTATTTAGATTCATCCACACAGAATTCTACACGTCTTGATTATTTATCAATACCGCCCGTCTTTTTACTCCCTCCCATTAACTATAAAATTACTCTACTTTTATTTTTTTCAATTTTTTTTTACCAAAAAAGATGAAATTGCTTTACTCGGTTTCTCAGAAGTTATAATCCATGATTATATTACGACCCACTGTTACCGAATTGCAGATCATGTTTGTATGTTTATCTTTGAAAATGCACTAGTTTATGAATTTATATGTAACATTATTATAAATGTGTTAGTTCAAATGCACACATATTTTATAAAAATTATTTTTTCTTTCTTTAAGATGTCGCTTTTTTTTAGGAAATTTAATAACATGATCTGACAGAATTTCACGTAAGGCGCAGAATGCTTGTTTACGTCTTGATTTTAGAAACATTTTGATATTCACATAGGATACCTACTTTTACAAGCAATATTTAAAAAAAATAACTTCTTAGATTTTTTAACAAAAAAAAAAAGGATTTGTTGTTCTAAACTATGCATTTAAATCATGTAAGCTATCTAATAAACCTGTATGTTTGCAACACAAGAATTTCTAGACATCGAGTCTCAATTATTATATATCGACAACCACCCTTATATCTTGACATTTTCCGATCTTCTCAACGATATCGAGATTACGAAATTTACCTGCACTTTTAAATCGAAAGAAAGAAATCAAATATTATATAGCAATTTGCTTTCATTATATTTTCTGCTTCTGTGTACTGAATGAAAAAGTGAAATTGAAAAATAATGATCGGAAATCAAATTCAAAGATTAAAAGAAAAGAAACCATATACATGTACATTGACACTTATTAAATGAATGTTGCGGTACCTTTGTGTGAAAATGATCAATGAAAATCATAAAATAGATAAATTACACATAAAAGAGGGACTGATTTTAAGTTTCTGAAAAAAATCAAATTCACATAAAATCATTTATAATGATAAACCATTTTTATTTCAGCATTGGATCACCTCGTACTTTCTCATACAAAGTGGAGCATTCTGGTTTCTATTCTGATGTCAGAGAGTTACAGTTTGTCATTAAGATCACAGTGGGAAGAAAGATTTACAAAACTTCAAAGTGCTTTCCCGTTATTAACCTGCGAGTCAAGAATTGTAGAAAAAGATATCGCTGAATTGACTGATATTTATAAAGTGTTGAAGAAGGAGAACAACTCAGTCAGTTTTATATCAGATGATGTCCGCCATCAGGTGATGAGTTACTTCGTGAAGAATTGTCTGATAACTGATGAGGACTACGAAAATTATATCAAGTTGTCGTCACTGGAGTCGTTATTCGAGTACGTACTACCGTGGTGGTATGTTAATTATGATGAAATGTACACTTGGCTAGATAGATATGTGTTCCTACCGGAGAGTTTAGAGAATTTATATTGCCAAAGACTTGGATTAGATTCCTTACGTCATCAAATGGTGGAGTGGAATGATTCGAGTTTAGATAGAACTGAAACAGTCAAAGAGGTACTTCGAAAAAATTGTGAGTAACACTGTTTCATTGTAATAATAAAAAAATGATCAACATTAGCTTTAAAATTTTTTTAAAAAATCATTAAACATTTAAAAGATAAAATCTTAAATTTATACATTAAAGACAGTTTTCTTTTTACTTTAAGATTAAAAAAAAAATATATGACATGTTTCATACTTATTCATGTCTTATTCTGTTATACTGTAAACCTTTTAACAACAACATCTAAAGATAAAGTTTATTGTTAAGAAAGCTTATGATTTTGTTTCTTTCACAGAAAATCCTCTCGATATTTAGTTACATTTTATAAGGTCCAACCCTCTATTACGTTTTGAGGCACATGCACCCATCTTTTATATCCAACTCCTTGTATACCACTGAATGAAATTCAATGAGTCTTTTTACATTCAAAGTTAACATACCGGAGGAAATATTTGATTGGGGATATGACGCACGATGTAGATACATAAAATGTGCTAAAGGGGAACGAAGACAGTACACAGAGCTCGTGCAATGATTGTTGGATGCGCAGGTGCTGGGAAAACTACCCTTCTAAAACGACTACAGAAGCTAGGATTAGAGGAATTACTGAAGGTGCGCTCCACTGTTGGACTTGAGGTTCATGAGGACATGTTTGAACTGGATGATGACTCTTCTTTAAGAGGTTTGTGTAAAATGTTTTTTTTTTTGCTTTCTTTATTACGTGTGTAAATGGAGTTAACAATGGAATCATCTCCTGAAAAAAAAGTATTTCTGACCAGATTTTTTTTATTTAGGCAATATTGCAAATATATGCTTTACCAAAAAAAAAACAACATTTTTTTGTTTTTGTAAATAATCGTATAAAGTGTGTTCATGGAGACATGAGAAAATGTAACACCGTAAATCTTGAAATTTTAAAGTCAATTTTATTTTGCAAATTCGGTTCAAAATGCAGTTGAATTATTTTTACGCTTCAAAATTTTGCGTTTGAAAACTGCTTTATTTACATTTTCTTATTGGTAATTTATTTTTTAGAAAAATATTTTTGCGAATGCAATAAACTCGCAAGCTAAATATTATCTACTGCAAAAATTTCCAGATCACGATAGTTATCTGAATATATAGATAAAGGATCCAAATGCTCATTTTTTTTTAAATGTAGCATTAGCTGCATATTGTTTTACATCCCTAAACATTAGTTTCACATCTCAAAACGTTAGTTCTATTTAATTTTTATTTCAAAAAGCAGAGATCAGAAAACATTATGCTATAATAAGATGTACGCCGTCTGCTCTAGCTGTCTTATGGCCTGTAAACTACTCTTTATTTTAAGATACCGTATAAGTAGAAATTTTAGCGAGACGCAAATTTAGCGATTGACCTTAAAAATCGGTATTTTAATTTTAGCGAGAAGCAATTTTAGCGAATTTGAAATGCTTACTTTAGAAGCTATAGCAACTTCAACGCAATTAATTTTTTGCGATATTTAATTTTCACAATATCAGCACCCTCGCTAATAATGCCAAAATTAAATCCTCGCTAAAAATTCTACTTATACGGTAATACCCCAACATAATTGGCGCAATGTTAATATTACTACACTGTACGTTTGCCTAATCTCAAATAAGATACACAAATTTGTTCATTTTATAATGTACTGAGCCTTGATACATAGTGACTAGAATTTAAAATCTTTAAAAATCGCTACCTTCTTTGCAGTTTTACATTTAAAATCCAAATAACCGGCTAAAAATTAATACACTTTAAAAATATCCATAACTCGATCTGCTTATCTGTTAAAATCTATTTCAATTGTAGCTAAAAATACAAATATCTGTGAAATTTACTACCTTCCGCCCTATTCTGATTTCAATATGAAATATTTTTTTACATAAGTGCTGAAAAGTACACAATACTGAGATACGTTGTTATGCCCTCGGATCAAAAGATTGGGGGTATATTGTTTTTGTCCAGTCTGTCTGTCTGTTTGTCCCACTACTTTAACCTATAGCCCATAACTATTGAGTGGTTGGAGCTATATGGCTTTCATAATTCATAGGTGTGTTACTTGTGACATGAGCTCTCTTTGGGTACCACCAAATTTGACCTCTTGACCTTGACCTTGGAGTTCGACCTACATTTATTCTATTTGTTTTCAACTTTAACCTTCGCCATAACTTTTGAACAGATCGAGATAGAGACTTCATATTTAAAATGCATACTCCACTAAATAAGCACTTTTAACTGACACCAAGGACAATGACCTTTAACATTATGACTGTGGCCTATATGCTAAAAATAGATTTTCAAACTTTTGGTATAACTTTTGAACCGTAGGAGACAGGGACTTTATACTGGCAGAGATTTTCCACTACACCATGTAGGGCCGAATATGGGCCCCATTCCCAATTGTAAAACCCCTCCCTTTTTCCCAAAAATGAACTCAATTTTTGAAAGAAGAACTCAAGAAGGTAACCTGAACATAATTCACAACGTACAAACATGTTTAGGTTTGGAAATATGAATGAAATGAACAAAATTTTGAAGAATCTAGGGGAAAACTTCATTATATTGATCAATTCTCTGATCAATAGTTCTGAAACACTAGGTAAAAGATCAATTTTTATTCATCTTAAGTATTTATTTCTTGAAAAACATCATGCAATAAAATTTCCCAATAAGTGATAAAATGTCATTAAGGAATTTCCACCCTCACAATTTTATAGGTTCAAATATAAAAACTGCATTTATTTTCATTCAATATACTTTAAACTTTCCATTTTATGCAAAAAAATGTATAGGTCACCATATTATTTAAGATGGGAAACAAAAATAAACAGAAGTTTATGTCAACATAAAAAATTAAACATTTTGTATTAAGAAAAATATGTAGAAACTGGTTAAAATGCATAATTCTGATGCTGAGACAGTGAGTGTTCCTAAATACTTCCTACTTAAAAGATACTTTTGAATTGTAAATATCAGGTAAAATATTTAACAGAAAAGCAAATGCCTGAATGAAGAGACCTTAGAAGGAGTTGTTGCCCTTGTAAACATTTTTCAAATATTGAATAATTGATTAAATATAGAAAATATGCATTTTCTAAATTCTTTTAACTATACAATATTTATCATTACACCTCTTGTAAAGTTTTCTTCCAAGAGATATTTTTCTATAAGGTATGAATTTAAGTTAATTACAGTTTTTGAAAAACCCTATGACATCATAGGAGGGTGGAATTACCTTAAATTCCCAATTCCAAGGGCCTGGGCCCCATTCCCAAAAGTGAGTGGAAAATCCTTGCTTGGTATGCCTATTTCACTAATTAAGTGCTTTCAAATGACACTGAGGTCAATGACCTTGTGACCTTGACTGTAACCTTTATGCTATGAATAGCTTTTTCAAACTTTGTTACCGCCGGGGGCATGTGTGACTCACAAACACATCTTGTTTTTTATATTGTTTGCTGACTACACTAAGATTTGATATTCTTTAAATCAGTATATGATACTTATAAACAACGTTGCAAGAAGGGCTACCAAAACAGAAATTTCATACATATAAATTTCTTTGCAAAATGCTACATATCCTACCGTTTTTCTTCAATTTCATAAAAACCTTTCTCAATATTCAGTAAACGTCACCAATATACAGTCGTATCTCTTTTTAGTATAAGCACATGGTGTTACTCTGCTTACTATTTGTAGAAATTTGAAATGCGCCCAAAAGGCTATTGCTTCTATAACTTTTGTCTAATTGCTGTCAAATTGACGCCAAGAGACTTAAGGTGAAACACAATAGATAGGCTAGATTGTTTTCTCAAATTCAATTTTTCTGAAACTTTGATATTTTGTTCTACGAGACAGAATATCTATTTCTATATGATATGAAAGAAATTCAACCACGCATATTTTGCCCACATAGTCTGAAATATGGCTGATCAGACCCCCGTAAGAAGATTATGAAGTCAGACCTTTGACTTGAGAATGAACCTTATTTTAGAAATATCAATTGATCTTTTTCAAATTTGTGTAATACTTTTTTTTATAAACATAATCTTTTTGTTACTTTAAATCGGTTAGTCAAATTAATACTGGAAAATCTAAGTAAAATATTCAGTAAAAAACATAAAAAGCGTTGGAATATATAATTTATATGTAAATATCTGACGGATTATGCTACGTTCCCACTGTCGTGCGGTCAGTTACGCACGTCACGATAGATCAATCGTAGTTGATCGCGGAGTTTATTGAATTTTATGCCAAGATACGAAGAGATGCGTATAGGTGCGTTTTCATACGTTTCGTTACGCTTTTATGCGCTATGCCCCCGATGGATAAATTTCATGTGATGCGTTCTCTGATGATCTGACTACCGTTCGGATAAGATGAAATACGTTTCAATAGGATTATCAAGATTTAGTCGAAAAAGGACCTCAATCTGTCACGAATATCACGATTCGAGTTCTCGATTAGAAAGGATCTCCTACGTTTTAATACGTACTCATACGGTATAATACGTTCATTGCGCTCTCTTGCGCTAATGTACGATAGAATAACACGTTCATTGCAATGTCTTTCACGATCAGGATCAAGATAGAACACGCTTTGAGCTACGATTGTACCCCGACAGACATATAAAAATCTGGTTATACTGAGTCCATTATATTTTATCTCTTGAAATTAAACAAAACATAAACATACAATCAATAATAATGGCAGAAGTAAAGGTTGATGAAAACTTCATAAACGTGGTGTTTGTAGTGTAACTATGGCCATATGTTATTGCTGTCAAAGTAGGGTAAAAGAGCAGTATAACTATCTCTTATCTTTTCACTGATGTTGCCTCTGATCGAACGGGTTCAAGTTCAAAAGAAGTAGGAACTCCCCTCTTTCTATTTTGTACTTGTTTTATGTGGCATCTTTAAAATATTTTTCAAAACGTAGACATTTTCCAATCGGAAAAAACGCGTTCAATTTTCCGTTATTTTTGCAAGCTTTTATTACTCGTACTATAGCGTGATTGTCCGCAACAAAGCGTTAACACTCGTGTCTAATGGCGTTAACTCTCATATGTCCGTATCAAATCGTCTTTGAGCGGGAAAGAACCGTGTCAGCACGTGAGCAGATGGCCACGCAAAGCGTCACAGATAGTGACAGAACGTGAGATATCGCAACGAATCGCCTTTCAGCGGGATATCTGTCCTTTCCGAGATTGATCCCGATGATCACGATATACAAGCCAGATTAGTTACTTTTTAGTTCACCTGAGCCGAAGGCTCAAGAGTGAGCTTTTCTGATCACAATTTGTCCGGCGTCCGTCTGTCTGTCTGTCTGTCCGTCTGTCTGTCCGTCTGTCTGTAAACTTTTCACATTTTCGACTTCTTCTCAAGAACCGCTGGGCCAATTTCAACCAAACTTGCCACAAAGCATCCTTGGGTGAAGGGGATTCAAGTTTGTTCAAATGAAGGGCCAGGCCCTCATTCAAGGGGAGATAATTGCGAATTAATGAAAATTTGGTTACAAGTTTTAAAAATCTTCTTCTCAAGAGCCACTGTGCCAGGAAAGATCAAACTTATGGGGAAACATCCTCAGGTAGTGTAGATTCAAGTTTGTTCAAATCATGACCCCCGGGGGTAGGGCGGGGCCAAAATGGCCGACCAAAGTTTTACATAGAAATTC